GGGGGGGGGGGTATATTTCATCGACACGTTAACAGAGTGTCCAACATAAAAATGAAATAAATATAATTTCTGGACAATTATTTTAAAAAAATAATTTTATTACATATATTTAAAGAAAAATAATTTTTTTACATATATTTTTTTCATATTTAAGTACAATGTAACATATGGTATTATAATAACAAAGTAAAAAAAATATATAAACAGAGTACACGAGAGAAAATGAAATCTGGAAACATAACTTCTCTGAAAATAATCCATCAGAAATATTAGCGCAAAAATTATATTTCGCATAAACTCGTACGCATCAAATGACACAAGTAAAATTATGTAAACGAAAAAAATTTCACAAAGTAAGAGCGCTATTCGTTATAATTATTATTTGTCCTTCGATACATGTCGTTTGTGCACGTGGTTATAAATGTTGTAAGCCAATTTTGAACGATAATTACAAAACGGACAATCGAAATAATATCTATCGCAATCGTGCAAATGACTCGCCATAGAAGCTACATTTACGAAAGAACGTCCGCATTTATTCAAACAAAAAACCCTTTTGCGCAATAAGTGGATATGGTGTTTTAGTAGATGACTGAATTCCCGTGGAATCGGAGAAAGCCGAACGTAGCAAGGCTTAATGTCTGTAACAAAGAACTTATTATTTATAGCGTCAGGTTTGTCTCTATTAATCAAATGTACATTAAAAGATCTTAATGAATGAAGATTTACCCAATGTTTTTTAATAGCAATTAACGTGCTAGTCTTCTAGCGCGCTAGAAAACTAGCGTCTATAAAAATATAATTTTGTACGATGTTAGTAAAAATATCTTTAAATGTAAAGCGTTTTTAGTATATTCATTTTTACTTGCATAATTAATATTAAAATAAAAACGTTGTAATTATATGTTCCCAATAGTATATAGATAGAATAATAGATGCAAAAATTAAAAAATATGATTAAATAGAATATAACAGAAACGAACAAAATAAATAATATAGGACTCTTCGATATTTAATAAATTAAAGACAAGATATATATTGGGAATATAGGGAAATAGGAGTCGCGCGATACTTTGTGCACAAATATAATATTAAAAAGTTTAATAGTCCATATCTAATGATAAACTTTATAATATATGTCTTATAACATTAATATACTCAATTTTGTTGAGAATAACTTAAAATAAGTTGTAACGCGTATGAAAATATATATTATAATATTTATCATTAGATATAGACTAATAAACATTTTATTATATTTGCACAAAAAATAGCGCTGACCACTATAACTTTCCTATGTATTCTTGTCTTTAATTTATTAAATAGAATGTAATTTTTACAGAAAAACATTAAATAAGTGGCCACTTTATCAAAAGAACTAGTTTCCAATGAGTAATGCATAAAAATATAATGTGCATAACTATACATAAATTTAAAAAACTGTTGTTGCTTATATAGCTTTTAAAATTAATATTATATTTGAAATATCTCTTTATTTGTGGCTGAAAGTAGCTAGTTGCAACTTACACAGCACACTATTAGAAATAAGCTAGCAGACAGTACGACACTAGCACTTGTAAAGTCAAAATATTTTAACTTCACTGCGGCAGCTGAGAGAAAAAAAGCTTACCAGCATTTTAAAATACATAATGCTTTTTTATTAGCAATTAATATAGTCACATGTTAACTGCTAGTAAAAAATCATTATGTAAATTTTGTTTAAAATATCAGAGAAGATTATGAGTTAATATCTTACTAATAATATTAAGAAATTAATCTTTAAAAAAGTTCGCTATAATCATAGAACAATACAGATAACTAAACAATTAAAATTTATTCAATTACATTAAATTTTTGCTACATTAACTTCAATAATTATTTTATAAAAATACAAAAGATATTCTTTATGCGTATAATTCTTATAAAAATACAAAGATATTCTTTATATATAATTTTTTTTTTGCTGGTATTTGTTTAGTATAATCATATTAACAGAAAGCCGATTTCTTAACAATGGACATATTTTATCACCATGTAAACACACATGCAAACAAATGTAATTTGTATAGACAATTCACATTACTTTCATTGTTATATGGTTGATTGTAATTAGTAATATTTTTTTAGTGCAGGCTCATCTAATTAAAGCTCCAAAAACGTAAAGCCATCAAACACAAAAAAATTAATAAGGTAAGATTTCGAGGTCTCGAAGTACTTGATACGCGTCTAAACGATGTTTATCAATACTTTACATGAAATCTCACTCAAATTGAATTTTTTGTATTGATGACTTTGTATTTCGAAATTGGATAGGTCTATTCGTGTATCAAATCAACATCTACAACTAAAATTATAGCCAGACAACATTCGTTATTCAAAGTACGACGAATAAATAACATTACAACAAATAAAAGTATATAAAAAATAATAAAGTAAGAGAGAAATATATATTAAAAACCTAAAAATATAACTTCTTTAATAATTTGTTATATTTGCGTAAAAAATGTATGTTTATCAAACAATGAAAGGAAAACTTCGTAAACAAAAACTTAATAAAATTTTTGTTTTCGTTTGTGATATTTTTCATTCATTATTAAAATAAGCCATTTTTTTATATTATGTATTATTCACCCACGTGTTTGAAGGTAATAAAGTCAAATTTAAACGATAATTACAAAATGATAAACATGATACGGCGGATAATGGTATTCGTAGCGTAGATATTTCATGAAAGTTATAGTTCTGAAGGAATGCCTGAGTTCATTAAAACAAAAGAGCTTTTTACATAATAAAGAATAATGATGACTGTATTCTTGAGAAAGTTGGACATAGCAAAGCTCAATGTCCGTAACAGGAATTTATTATTGCAGATGCATCATAAAATGTGTTTCCGTTAATCAAAGTGTATACATTAATTCAAATAAGTTAATAAAGAATTAAAAAGGATACGAGTTACATTAGTAACTATAAGAAATCAGACTTCTAAAATGGATTCGCTAGAATTATAGGATAACACAGACAGGTAAATGCTTAAAATTTATTCAGTTATACATCAAATTCGATACATTAACAAATTCTATAATATGTTACCAGGTATATTGTAAAAATAAATATATTATATAATGCACTTTACAAATAAGTTGTTTTTTTTTAAATATCCTGCGTTGAGAAAACGTCAAATATAATTTTTAAGTTCAGTCCATATTGACGATATCAATTACATCGCCAACAGTAAAAATTGCTAAACAAAAATAGATGTATAACAATAAATATCAAGTAAAAAATCGATACATATAGTATAAACGACTATGTAAAATAAATAAAGCATACTGATAAAACAACAGATCGACGAACGTTCAGTTGAATGATATCACAACTTCTTCGAGACTTCTCGTAGCTTGTTTGTGGACAATTTTGTACAAAAAAGGGAGGCTTACAAAATTTATATCGTTCATCTGTGGGCCTGTTTCGTGCTCATATCGAGAACATAGACATTTTCGTTGGGATGTATCCTGCGTATATGGGATCTCACGTTTGACGAGTGTTTCGTGCGGTAAGAACAGTATGGACAGTTAAATCTCGGCAATTGGCCACACTGGAACTTGAGGTGATTATACAAATTGTTCTTACGCGTAAACGCATTGCCGCACTTGTGGCAGGGGTAATTCCTGTTTCGTTGTGCTCCATCAGGATTGTAGACACATTGATTGGAATGCGCGTGAAATCGTTGCATCGCGACCGGTCGAGTCTCTGGGAACAGAAAATTTCACAACGTAACTCGAGGCAGAAACTGAAACTTAAACAATCTCGCGGCTTCCCGCACCGAAAAAAAATTAATACGCAGCAAAGTGTGTTCAGCGTGGATGTACAACGTTTTGCGATCCATTTCTTCTTAAGTCATCGTTAGAATATATCGAATAACAGAGCTCTTAATTAACAGATCTAAATATATGAAAATCTATTGTACTTCTGTTGTACAGAAGATCTGTTGTACAAAATCACATTAAAATAAGTATGACATATATTTTTTAGCCATAAATTTATTGATCTTTTTGATAAACTCTACTATGTAAGACTATTGATTATGCCACATATAGAAGGATATAGTGAAGTTTCATATGTGAAATTCTATGTGAAAGCGTTATTTATTAGTATATTACAGTGTTTTAGTCAGGCTTACACAAAAAACATAAAAGACATAAAATATTCAAAATGCCATGTTAGTGGAAACACTAAAAAATTAAATATATAAAGTTTCATTTTCTTCTAATAAATTTTTATATATTTTCGTGTCATAGACTGCCATAAATTCTCAATCTTTATAATGTTGTATAAAAAAAGTTATAGTTATATAAAAAAAGGATGATAAAATAATGCAATTAATTAGTGCAAATGTAATATTGAAAATTTTGTCAAATATTTTGAAATATTTTCACATACGTACAATAAATATACTCTTTATATTTTTAAACACTAAAACTGTGAACGCTTCATTGTAATAGCGCACACAATGCGCAAAAGAACAAAAGAAATAATTAGGCGTAGAGTGAAGAAGAAAAACAGTAATCCAATCATTCGGAGGTACGTTTTAAGAGATATATTTTATAAGAGTAACGTCAGACGTCGTCGCATAGACTCAAACAAATAACAAACACATCGATGATAAATGGATTTTAGATTGGACAGAATTCAAAAGAATTGCGGGATATCAGTCTTGTGTATATCCACCACGTAGACCCTGTTGCCAGGATGTATACGGCGTACGTGGGCACGCACGTTTGACGGATGCTTCGTTCTGTAGGCGCAGTAGGGACAATTGTATCTCGGCGGCTGACCGCATTCAATCCTCCAGTGATATTGAAGATTATGCTTCATGCTGAATACGCTGTTGCAATTGCCACAAGGAAACGATTTCGCGTTTTGTTCGCGCGATGAGATGGTGATATTGTTCGCGACCAACCGATTAGAGCCTTTCCGCCACGTGCGCGACGGCACCGACTCGGATGCTGTAAAAAAAAAAGCACAGAATGTCTTCGTCATCCAGAGCCCGTGATGATTATCGCTAAATCACTATTTTTCCTTTATATCCATTTCAGTCATCGAGAGAAAAAAGAAAGAGAAAGTGTGAAAGAAAGATAAGTGAGGCAGAGAGGGACTGACAGCAGTCTTCTCGAGTCGTAAACGATCAACAGAATAAAACGTTAAATCTCTTGTTAGATCACTAATCGTGCGATAAATATCCAACGTACTCCGTTCGTTCACACTAACGACACAGACAGAACATAGGTCTTCCATCGAGAGGAAGAATATGTCACGATGAAAGCAATACTTTCAAAACTACCGTGACTCGATTGAGGACGATGTCTTTTATTCTGAAGAAAGTCCACGCTGCGTCGACGTCGTTCATGAGACAGACGTCGACTCGTCACGTTGCTGCCAGCTGAGGATGTCGATGACGTAGACCTCACGATCAGGATGTTTTCTGCGCACGTGGGCCCGCACGTTCGATGTATGCTTCGTACGGAAGGGACAGTACGGACAGTTGAATCGCGGCGATTGGCCGCACGCGAACTTGAGATGATGCTGAAGATTGTAGCGCCAATTGAAGGATCCGCCACATCTCGGACAGTAATACACCTGCTTGCAAGTCTGCCGCTGAGCTTTATGGACTGACCGATTCGCGCCGCATCTACGTCGCGCGCTCCTCGAAGAATACTTGCCTTCTGAAAAATGCAGACGTCCTGTTGATTAGCCGTGTTAATCGCCATAAGTTAACACTTACAACGCGAATGATTGATGAATTATTACAAAAATCGATACAAAGACATAGAGATTTACTAAATAAATAACGACGCAAAAGTATCAATGATAAGCCGATATTACGAATAACAACAGAAAATGTCTAAAAAATAAGTTAAAATCCATCGAGAACATGTAAATTAATTGTGAAGTCGATATAAACTACTATTGTACGAACGCATAATTGCCTATATTTATTACAATAAATAATAAAAAGTACAAAAAATAGTACAAAATAACGCAGTAGATTATAAAAGATCTATATATACAACATTGAGAAACTAGAGTATTTATATAAGTTATCGGATTATCTATGAATTTTTTTATATATAAATATAATAAGATATAAATATTTATATAGATTATATATACTGTGTGTGTTAAAAATATCTACATTAAATTTCACATAATTTCATAGAAGCAAATTTCAAGCAGGTACATTAAAATCGTTCAATGTTGTCACAATGAGCATGAAATTACAAATAACTTAGATTTAACGATTGCAATGTACCTGCTTGAAATTTGCTTCCGTTACATTTACATGAAATTTCACGTCTTTTTTAACAGTGTACGCTTATTTATAACTACCGATTGGCACAAGAATTTTTTTTTCTTTCTTCATCAATATTAAAAATGATGAAACGTGGAATTCATTTCGTAATTTCATTATATGGAAGACGATGAAAAACAAGTCTCATCATGGCTATGTACATTGTATAAATGAATACATGTAAATTAAAACGTCATACAAAATATAATACACAATTTTACGTCTTAAAAATATATACATATATTCAACTGAAATTGATTTCTGATTAATACATGAATTCTTCACTAAAATTGTAATAACTAAATATCCTTAAAAAAAAAATTATAAAATGTTTTAATTCATAAGAAATTTATTATGCAAGAATATTCATAAAATCACAATTTGGAACAATAATAAATCTATACTTTTAATTTCAGATGTTTAGTTTTAACAAAAATTTAAATATATCATAATATCTAAATTTTAACAATACAAGTACAATTAATTTTCTGCTGTAAAGGATTTTTAATTCATTATCATTATTTTCTATTCGTTCTTCTGAAATCAAATAATTACACACCATGAAAAATTCAATTTAATACATTTACATCCAAACGGTCCACTTCAATTTGTGTTGGTTTTATGGAAAAAAATTTTTAATTTTTTTATAAATAGAATTGTTAAGAAAATTGAAAAGAATTAATTATTTTATAACAAGTCTATTTCAAATTTGTCAAGAGGAAATAAAAAAAAACCCTATGTAACCATTTCAGAAAAATAAATAGAGAAAACATAAAACAACAAAAATAAATGTTATAACTAATAGGAACGAAAAATAAAATCGCACCCCTTTGAGATTATGTGCAAGAAATAAATGTAGAAACCCATTTCGTTAAAAAAAATTCTACAATGCACGTCTGCATTAAACAACCTTGATCTTACATTACGAGCCTACTTTACACACGTCAATAGCATATACTTTGTTGCCAGGGTGTTTCCTGCGCACGTGTGCACGAACGTTCGATACGTGTCTCGTGCGATAAGTGCAGTAAGGACAATTGAACCGCGGCGATTGACCGCACTCGAATTTCGCATGATAATAAAGATTATTCTTGCGACTGAAGACACTCGGACACTTAGGACAGGGAAACTTCGGCTTTTCGACGAGAAAATTGCGGTCGATGACGATTGGATGGTACGTCGGTTGTTCCTTTGTCACGACGGACGCAAATTCATGTCCATAGATCACGGGCAGAATATGGTCTGAAACAGAAGTGAGAGGAACATCACGTCAGAAAACGTTGCCGGCTTGCAAAGACCTCGATGTGATTCGGTAATCTGTGCCGAACTCTGCAAAATCGCCGAGACGTCGAGGCCGAGCTTGAGATAGGAAAATTTTCAACGCTCCATTTCGCATAAAGGACTCTAGCAATCACTTTAATTTTGTAAAGCAACTTTTTCTTTAAATACAGTATTAATATAAACAATGATAAGTCATCGTCAATTTAAAATTATTTCATTTTGGAAGCTGCACATTCAATGTTTTCCAATCTCATTTGTTCATATGTGCGTAGGCTGTGAAGATAAATGTATATGTGCAAAATTAAAAAAACAAAAGGATTATAAATAGGAAGGAATACATTATTAAAATTTAATAATATTTTATTTCTGCTACATACACAACATATATAGTTTCACGACTGCATAAAATAAAAACAAAGTTTCGTTGAACGAATTAGTCGTGGTATAGTAAAAAGTGTAAGTAGTAATATCAATTTAGAAATCGATAAGCTTAAAACTATCTTCTATATAAAATTAAAAATAAACAATGTAATCATTAAATAATGATTAAAAGATATATAATAATTTAATAATACTGAACTATCACAAATAATTTGGCTCGTAAACTTATATATACAATTTGAGATATGTATTTACAAAAATCTCAACGAGATTTTTAAGCTACATGTGCAATTAGAAGCCTTATACAGATTTTGTAAGCTTAATTATTGCAACATACTTCTGATATATTTCTGATTAAACACTATTTTACAATTTTTTTATCTTTATATAGGATTTGTTTTTACTTGCTTTTATATAAGACTTTTTTATTCTTATAAGACTTATTTTTATGAAATATAGTTTTAATAATAACAAAACAACTAATAAATAAAAATCACCGTAACTATATCAGTATTGGTATTGAACAACAAATTTGTAATTGATTTTTAATGTACATAAATTATTTGGGTAAATCTCGACAATAACGGAAGTAGCTCCGATGACCTTGATCTTAACGTATGCTGTCAAGGTCATGATCCTTGAGTAACCTCCAACAGGTTTTAGCCGTCGCTTGTCCTTCGTTAAAGTCTTAAAAATAACGTTGTATTTTTATTGAAAACTTCTACGAATAACTTTTTTGCTTATCAAATATTGCATCAAACTATCCAAATCATTCAACTTTCCACGCGAAATGACCCTCACCCCTCCTACCTGCAAAGTAGGTTCCGTCCCTCCTGCGGGAGGGCCTACTACTGTTAAAAATAACCTAATCCATCCCATTTTTGGTGTGAGATAGCTCTCGTTTCGCGTAAAGTCGAAACCCACCTGCAATAGTAATACCCCCAAAGGCTCAGCCGTCAATCAAACCGCGGTGCCGAATGTATTTGATAGCACACGAAAAATCATAGAAGTCATGCGCCCATTTGCAGAGGGGAGAGGAGGTGAGAGTTACTTCGCGTGAAAGGTTTAATGTTCCTAAACAGGGGGAGGTGTAGTACTTAATATCGTATATGTATAGCAGAAATAGTACGTTATTTTTAAAACTTTTTTGTTAATAACTTTTTAACGACAGACGAGCGCCGGCTAAAACTTATCGAAGGTTACTCAGGGTCATGACCTTGACAACATATGTCAAGGTCATCGGAGATGTTTCCATTATTGTCAAGGTTTACTATTATTTGTAATAACAAAAAATAAGATAATAATACTGTACTGAGATGTTAATATCATTTATATTAAAAAGTATTATATGCTAAATAATACTTTCTCGCACAGAGAATCCTTGTAGATAGTAAAATTTCACAAAATTTTCGCATACAATCGAAAATTTTTTTCGATTAGTCCCACCGTTAACAACAGTAACCGTCGCATATAAAAACGGTTAATAATAATTTTTAAAAAAAGTTATATTTCCTAAAAGAGATATTTGCAACTTTTTACAAATTTACTATTAATTAATGTTTACGTGTAAATTGCTACGACCATGACTAAAATTGAGTGATGAGAAAACACACTGATCCTCCGTTATATACGTTCCTTAAATAGCAATAGTCACAAGTAATTTCACCGAGACTGCACAGATGGAATACGCACAATCCACAATTATCTTCCGTCCTAGTAGTTTAATTCTTCAGGTCGATTAAGTGAAGCGAGAATAGCCGGATGGACGCTGAGGATGCCCTGTACTCCTGGAAAAAAAAGCAGATATATCCGTATTCATGCGATATGGTCTGCCCTCACGCATTTTACGGTATTTTTCGTGCAATCGCGAACAATACCGCATCAAAAATAAAAGAAGTAAAATCTTCAGAATTTCTACCGTTCTTCCTAGTTGTGTAGCTTCGACGAGTGGAGAATCTTCACATGATGTACGCTGCGTTTTATGGTGCCATCCGATGTTTTCAGTTTTCGTGAATTGTTGTTCTTCGGGGCAAAGGATGACGCCGATCTTTCGAGTGGACGCCTGATCTCAAGGGTCGCGTTTCTGCAACTCACCCAAATCGACCGCATACACAAGCT